AAATTCAAACGGCGTTCGAAAGGCCTGTCAAATTTGTCGAAGGAAACCAAATTTCATTGACCTCGGGGTCACCGATGACGTCACAGGTCAGGTCAAAGATGAAATGTTTCACCGTTCACGGGTCATCTAGGGAATGCGCTATAACACCGAAGAAAACGCATTTTGTCGAGAATCAGCGATAGGGCGTCAGTTGCCTAGTACATATGTTGCTAAAAGAGGTCACTGACAATACCAGGTCAGGTCACAGGTCAGGTCACCAAGGGTCACAGGTCAGGTCACATGAACCTAACGTTAGGCACTAAGGTTGTGCGATGCATGTTTTATGGCCAATGTTTCATTTCCAACTCAATGGTGTTGGTTATAAGACCATCAGGTACGGCTTAAGTCACTTTCTGGTGAAGGTCAGGTCAAGGTCAGGTCAAGAAAGGTCAAATTTTAAAGTTGATAGTTTTGCATAAAATGGGTATTGATTCGATGCAGCTCGTCACGGGGAGTCTAATGGTGGTCTTTGTTTTGCGCTACGGGGTCTAGAATTGCTAAAAAATGAGTTTGAAAATTACTTTTTGGATTTTTCGACTGTTATATTCAAAAAAAATTATTCTTTGATTTTTGGGGCTCAAAATCCAAAAATTTCAAAAATCCCAGATAGCAGTTTTGTAGCCCTGTCAATTCTACAGTTTTTATGTCTTTATCGTTTTTCTGCATTTGCAAAGCTATAGGCCTGACAGCTCTTCCCGCGAAACTCTTTTTTGGGTCGAAAACGGCAGAACATGACGTCACTCTGACGTCATTTCCGGCCAACCTATCAAAGCCTTTGGAAAAATTTTGGTCACAATGTGTAAAATTGATGTCCGAGAGGGTACTGAAAGTTTGGTGACGATCGGCGCAGCGGTTCTGGAGATATATCGAAAAGTCTGGAGGGGGGGGGGGGGCAAAAAATAGCCCCCCCCCCACCAGGGCGCGGGTTAAAGCATTTTTCAATGTTGTGAGTCCCCAAACCGGTATTTTCAGGCCATGGCCACCAATTTGGCTATCTCAACTCAAACCTAATGTTAAGGTGGGATGGTCACTTTAAAGCAGGGCTGCGGAGTCGATGGATTTACGGCGACTCCGAAACCGACTCCGACTCCAACTTTCAAAAACCAGCTCCGACTCCGACTCCGACTCCGGGCAGAAATGTCCACTCCGATCGACTCCAACTCCCGACTCCGACTCCGCACACCTGGCAGGGCTGCGGAGTCGACAGATTTTCCGTGACTCCGACTCCGACTCCGGCTGGGGTTTCCAATATCGACTCCGACTCCGACTCCGACTCCGGTCACAACTGTCGACTCCGACCGACTCCGACTCCGACTCCGACACCGCAGCCCTGCTTTAAAGTATCCGCGGCGGTCCTTAAAGTTACAGTGCCGCCCCTTACAATGTGGGTGGCGTCCTCAAAATAAAAGTGATGTTGCCCCCCCCCCCCCGAGTAATGTTGGCGTCTCTTCTTTAAGTATCGGAGCCGCTCCTCATTGTCATTTTGCCCCACATCACTGCTCACATGGCGCCCTTCAATGTAATGGTGCCACCCCTCAACGCTCAAAGAGATAATTGCGCTCCTCACAGTGTCGGTGGTGCCCCTCAAAGTGGTTTAAGTGCCCTAAAAAAAAAATGGTGGCGCGCCTCAAAATGATGCTGTCGTCCTTTAGCAAATCTGCAGCGCCCCCAAAATGATAGTGCGTTCCCTTAACTGGTGCCGGGCTGAGGTTGTTTGAACCCCCCTCCCGACCCCTATAACTTGGCTACTTGGGCCACGTAGCGACACGCGGTAAGCGGTATTCGAAAGAGTGTCAAAAACTACTTGGGTTGGTTGGTTAACCGTACTTTGGCTAGGTCAAGTCAAATGTTAAATATCAGGTGACCAGAGGTCATCAAAGGTGAAATGTGGGTGAAATGTTGTCTGTTTCAACATTTATTGACAAACTGGAGCATAACTCGGGGAAGAATAGAACTACAGCACCGCGAAAAAGCGCATTCGATAGCTCTTCAACGTTCCTATAAAGTCCTTAGACTTGACCTAACATCAACGGCTTAACCTCCAGAGCACAACTTGTTATACCTGTGCCGGGCTGGGGAGGGTTGGAGGGGACAGTGGACCCCCTCCGCCCCTCTACTGAGCTGTTTTAATGAAAAAACTTTTTACTGTAATAATTGTTGACTCACAAAAGTTATGACATTGTTTTTTTTTTTCAGTACTGTGCTCCTCTCGTCGAGATGCGTCGAATGAACTATAATTTGACATTTAAATGTCATTTGGGAAATTTGAGCTCAGCTCCAGGTCATGACCTGACTGGTAAAAGGTCATGTTGCATATCAGTCGATTTGTATCGTCAAACTGAAGTCATCTAAGGTGTTTTCATCGCTCAGGCATGTCGCATGTCTCTATCAGAAGTTATTGGAGAAAAAAAAAACTGCTGGAGGCCTACCATGACCTGACATGGCCTCAAGGACATAACGAGGGGTCGTGGGTGGCAATTTTCCGATTAAGTGTGTCATTTTAATTGTTTTCTGATGTTTAAATTCGTTAACTTTGACATTTGTCTACCTATAAAAAGAGGCACGTGCCCTGATTTTCTCCCATTTCCTTAAACCTAATGGAAGGGTCGCAAAATTGTCCTTACCTTTGGTCAAAGACATCGCAATTTCGAGACTTACATTTCATATATACAGTTACACACTGTTTGTCTTATCAATCGCTGAAGTTATAAAGGGATCGTTCAGTCGGTATATCTATGGTGAGCATTTGCCTGTTCCGTAGCTCAGTTGGTAGAACACCGGACTCACCGCATTGTGTTCGCTTGCGTTTTGTCCGCCGGCCGAGCCGGAGAGAAAGTTACCGAGTGAATTGGTCATTTAAATTTCAAAAACTCAATGACAATGTCACTGGGGTCACGAAAATGTTTGAGTAGGTAGGTATAACATTCATTAACTTGGGGGAGGGGGAGGGATGAACGTATCGTTGCAATACGCTGTTCATTACGAGAGTAACTAATAAATAAAAAATGTATGAGTTCATCCTTACTCCACCCGCTCTCCCTCTCCATAAGAAAGAGAGTTAATTGTGTTGCATTTTATTTATACCTATATACCTATGCAGAAAAATAGAGGTGTCAAAGGATATGGCCGAATATCAGCGACCCTTGCTGTGTAAGCAATGGGGTATGACAAGTGGGGGTAATGGCCCCGTCCAGCGCCCATAAAGTGGGCACCACTCGTGCGACCTGCCGACCACTGTTCTAGATAGAGCCATAAAAGGTTGAATCTGAAATCATTACCTAGAAAGAGTTATAAAAGAACCGTCGAACGTGTCTTTTTTGGTCATTAAATATCAGTAGGTATGCCGCCCCCTCAGATGCCAAGTGCCGCCCCTATGAGTGCAAAATGCCGCCCCTAATTGTGATTGCCGACCCAGTGAAAATCCCTTAAAATACGCCCTGGCGTCTAGGAAATGTTGCCACTGTTCGGCTGTGCTGTCGGTCTGGTACACAGGGGACCAATCAGCGGCCGACAAGTCACAGCAGAAGGCGAGCTCATCGATACGCTGTATCCCGCGGCACTCGACGGTAACCGGCTTCCTGTCTGGACGCGGTAACGCTAACTCGGCTCTCACGAACGAGTGAGGGCTAAAGTGGCAGGTGCGCGTGCCGGCCCGCGAGACAATCTCCCTGCTGCTCACCAGAATAACATCGAGCAGAGAACCAGACGAATCAGGTCATTTTCGTGATCTCACCATTATAAGTCAATGGGGAAAAAAAATGAAAACTGCTATTCTGGCGCCGGGAACGATCTCCAACTATCTCAAGCACACAGAATCGTGATTTGATGCACTCCTTGCAAGGTTAGATGCATCACTTTTGCAATGTTGACCTTGCGTGACGTCATTTATGACGTCATCAAGGTCATATTAGTTTTTCGTCAATAACTCTTGATCAAATTGAGCTAGCGAGTCGAGAAGGCCACCAATGGACTCAGGAAGACCTGCTGAATCGAATGATATGCGACATGACCCCTTTCGACCAACTTCGTGACCTGGGGATGCTGACCTGACCTTGACCTGAGGTCAACACCCCAAGTTGACCTGACCCGGACAAAAAGTATATCATTCGACGCGCCTCAGCGAGGCGAACACGATGCTGCCAAAATCGCGGCTCTGCGGCCGTTTTTTGCGAAGTTATTCACCAAAAACTGAACCGTACCCTGGGGCACTTGACCTGACCTCAGAGGTCACCGGTTGACCTAGGACCTTAACCCATTAACGCCCGAGCACAGAAACAAGTATTCAATAATAATGATTTTTTGGGTTTGATGTTGAATTCGGGCGATTAAGAAGCCCTGAAAAAATTGGACCAAAATTCCAAAAACTTTTTGAGATACGATACCGACCCAAAATGAGCCACCGGGCGCCCGCTCCCAGCCGCCGCGCCGCATCCGCGGCCGGCGCGGGGTCCGCCCCGCCCCGCGCCGATCGGCCGGCCTCTCTCCCCACCCGCAGCATGGCCGCCTCCTCCCAGTCCTTCCCTCCCCCGGCACTCATCCAATATCGGCCTATTTTCCGGAGGTTCGAGACAGCCTGACATTCCAAGGAAATAATGTATTTCGTTACTACAATGTTTCACGCAAACGAGATCGACGGGCCTTTCAAACGGCGACCTGCGTCATGTAATGCCGCAAAACACAAAACCTAGGGACGTACCTATGCATAATTACAACATGATGGGAACTGTGGAGTGTAGAACGATGAGAACACATCATTTACTCCTCATATACCTAGTAGGTACACGGCAGTAATGCTTCAATAAGATGATAACGACAATGCGATCAAATTTTCACCGTCTGTCTCAACACAAGCTGTCATTTTTCATCGCACACTTTCTCACTCGACATCGCGATATAAACGAAGATAATTCAGTCGAATTCGCATTGCACGTTTGCACCTCATACCACTGTACAGTGTACACTCACGGCGACAGACCATGGTACACCGCAAAGCACTTGAAGCAGATGGCCACGTCACACTTGATACAGCGCTTCGTCGAGCGCAGCTTGCAGCTCTCTAGCTGACAGCGACGGCGGGCGTTCAACGGTGCCAGCATGTGCCCGACTCCGTCATACCGGAGGCTGGCCGGGATGTGTGACGGCAGCGGCCGGGCCGCGTCTCTCTCGCAGGCTGCCGCCTTCAGGTACGTTGTGGCGATCTCACGACGGAAGTTGATGAGTGACAGCTGGTCACCGGTTGCCGCGGTCTTATGCAGGATATGGCTGTTGACCACGGCCATGTCCAGCATCCTGGTGATGAGACACCAATACCATTTTTTTCCGCGGATCGCCACTTCATACGCACCCAGAAGCTGGTCGTGCAGGTCGACTCCGCCCATCCCTGTGTTGTACGTCTTCAACACCTTGGGCTGCGGTATCGGGAGGCGCTTTTTGGCTGTCCTGTCGTACCGGGTAGTGGAGGTGGGCGGGTCGGCTGCGTCGTAGTTCGTCATGACGTTGACGACCTTGTTGTCGTGCCACCTCACCAGCAGCACCTCTGACGTCCTGTCAAACCTCTGTTCGTAGCTGCCACGCCGTGACTTTGCCATCTTCTTCCTCTCGGTCACGGGACATTTGTCCAGTCTATTTTTCCTCACTGTGCCCGTCGCGCGTACTCCGCGGTCCTTCAGCTGCGCGAGGAGGCTTCTGGAGGTGAAAAGGTTGTCAAAAAACACCTCATGACCACCAGGATCCGACACCACGCTCAGCATGTCCATCACCACTCTCGTGCCCAGCGGCTGGTCACGCAGCTCAGGACGCTCTTCCTTTCCACAGTACAGGTCGAATTTATAGCAGTATCCGTCACTGCCACAAACCGCCCAGAGCTTGTAGCCGAAACGAATCGGCGTTCCGCGTATGAACTGCTTCAAGCTGTTGTGACCGTAGTACCTCACAATCATCTCGTCAACGGCTAGCTTGGACTGAAAAACACCAAACTGCTGGAACGACTTGTTGATCATATCCAGAAGCGGACGCACCTTGAAGCCACGGTCTTTTGTCTCTTGCTGTTTATTGTTGTCCTGGACGTGAAAGTAGGACTTGATTTTCAGGTAATCCGATCTCGTCATCGCTTGCCGGACGATAGGACGGGCGAGGTCGTCGTCCTTCGACCAGTACATTCGCTCGCTGGGAAGCGGGTTGTAGCCGGAATAAAGCAATATTCCGATGAACGCCTTCAGCTCATGGTCGGACAGAGAGAAGAGCTGGTCGTTTTTTACATCTCTCGCGTACCGAAGGGTTTCCAGCTGGATGAGATGGAACACTTCGGGTGTGAAGATCTTCTCAAAAATCTCCACAGCCGTACTCCCACTCAGCTCGCTGGCGATCTTCTCCCGAGCTTCTTCCGGTCCGTTAGAAGGCGCCTGCCAGCCAGTGTATTCCGGTTGCTGTTTACGCCAGGTGGGAGCGCCTTGATCCGTGCGTCGTTTTTTCTTCGGCGGAGGCGTGTTGTCTTCAGTTGACGGTGTTTGGAAATGAACTTCCACTTCGCCAGGCACGTCTGCCACCTCGGCGACACCGGTGCATTCGTCATTGCCTTCATCCTCGTCACTGTCGTCCGGCGGAATGCTCACCACATCGATATCGCCATCGACAGAATCGAGATCGTTCATCACCATATCTACGGCTTCCTGTAGAGTCAAATACCGCTGCCGCGGCATGGTGATTGTTTTGGTTCCACTGGTGGAAGACTACGAGCTCAAATATGACACAATCGCACTCTCTGCCCTCTCGCGACAAACTGACCGGCGTACCCTCCCCTGTCATTAGCCGCCGCTATCCGGGAATCCCCGCGCCCGCCACCAGCTGCGCGAGGGCCTGACCTCAGGACCGGTGAGTCCAAATTGGTCGCTCAAAATTTCGCGCGCGCCACGCACCGCCGGGGCGTAGTCAGCCTGTTATCGCCAACGGATTTAGCAAAAGTGGACCTTCCTCAGTACAATATATGCTTGCTGTCTCATTACTTAGAACAATGACCGAAATGCAGCCGTTTCACTGCATTTCTGTCGTAATATTAAGAAATCGCTAACTTTAGGACCCCACCAAATAAAGTTCTAGGGGTTGTGGTCATCAGTTTCCAGATAACCATCTACAGATAACCCTTCTCATCAATCACCAGGGATTGACAGACCCCTCCGACGAAACCAGTCAACCGTGGCACCTTTCAAAGACACCGTCCATTTTTGATCCGCCGAGCGCTAATGGGTTAAAATCGGGTACCAATCTCTGCGTCTCGTAACGGCGCACACGCTCGTTTTTTCCGCGACGCGCTAGCTCCACCAGGGGCGAAACGGCGAGGGGGGTCGTACCCGCCCCTCCCCCCTCGGCCGGTGCATATGTAGAAAACCAATAGGTCCGGCGAGGGTTTTAAATCTAGGACCCCAGTCCGGGGCGCGGGTCTTGAATCGCTTACCTTACTTTCCTCAGCACACCTTTCGTCCTAGTCCTCCACTCTCTGTACGAGGTCACAGCGCTAACACCGCGCAATGCAGCCCCGTTGTCACTTTGTCATGAGGCCGAACTAGCATGGCCTTGGAACTAACCCATTAACCTGGTGGCGGGCTCAATAATTTGATGACGTCATCAGAGCTACCATGGTAACGTGACAACACGAGTCGGTCAGTGTGCAGGCTCCCCGCTCCCCTGGCATCAAGGCTATATAAACCAGGTAGAACGCTCCGGGAAAAAAGTTGGAAACAATAAATTAGTTGCGGCATTCCCTGATGACGCGAATGTGGGTCAGCGGCCGGCGGCCGGCCGCCGCTAACACTGTATGAGGAGGGATGCGCGGAACTTTTGCTTGTTGGTGATTGCGCTAGGCAGTTAAATGGTAATGTTAGGATATGTTTCGAAAGTAAATTAAACGACGCTTCGAACGCCGTCAATGAATTTGCGATACGACGACTATTTGTTTGGTTAGAGCCGGCGAACTTTTACCTTCCGACCGCGCGCGGAGGCGATAGGGTGCCACACTGGCGGTTTTTACGATAGCTCAAAATTATTTTGAGATAAAGAGATGATATTTGACATGTCCTATCTTTTGATCAAGCTGGATCTTATGGTACAAGTCGCATATTTAAGGTAGGTCAGGTTGTTGACCTATGTTGTCGCTCGTGACTCGTGAGCCTCTGCACAGTCCAAAAACAACGCAATTTCTGAACACTCAGTGCCAAGAAATCCTTCACAGAAAGATGACACTTGGCAGAAAGAAGAGTTGTCGGTTTCTTACCGTTCGTATGTGTCGTGTTTTCACAAGAGTTTAGTAAGGTCAGGTCCGTCACGTGACCTCCCCTCATAACTCAATAGGTTTACATACATCATAGAAGCGTTAATCAATCGCCGGAAATCTTAGCCAATCCCACTGGACACTGGATCCATACCCACATGGGGCCCTCCTGACTGGCCACTCCCTCTGAAATCCACAATAACATTGGGCTGCGGCCACGGTTATGTATTAATGCTTTTCACTAACAGAAATACAACTTCAACCAGCACAGTGCACGCCGCCACAACAGTCCGACCCACGTCCCTGATATCGACTAGCTCCCGGCCGGATGCACATACGCGGAGCCAATCAGTCCGAATGTGACCTGCAGCTTACAATTGCTGTGTCGCATGGCGCATGGCACAGGACGATTCCTAGCAGCTGTCGGTTGGAGTGGAGAAACAGCACGTTGCGACACACCGCGCCGGCGACAGAGCTCAGCAGGGCTGGTTGGAGGCTGGAGCCGGAGGTAAGGGCGGACACAGGCACAGACATTGCAGGACAAATAACAGGATGTCAGTTAGGGATATAATTCAAGACGAATAATTCAAGACGGACTGAAATAATACACATTTTGCTCACTTGGATACCAACTTCAAACTTGACGTTTATGTATAGCACCATGGAAACAATGGGCACACAGGTAAGAAACAAAAGATGAGGGTTTTTTAACTCAAGGAAGTAAAACAGCCCGAAGTGCAGACAAGTACATACTTGTACATACATGTACATACTTTCGGTAATAGCTATCAGCTGTCCTACTCCTCTTCTCCCTTCATCAACTACTGGACACATTTGAAGCATCATATATAGCACCAATGTCCATAACCAAAGCTTGCAAGTAGTTTTAACCCTCGCATGTGTAGGGGGGGTCGGATGGACCCCCCCCATGGTTTTTCGCAAATAACTCGCGTAAAAAGCGGCCGATCGCGACGAAACTTTCAGTACCCTCGCATTAATCAATTTTACACCTACCCTGAAAATTTCATGACCCTGACCCAAATGACCTTTGACCTGTGACCTCTTTTCCGAGACCATGTTTGGCCGGAATCGCGATTTCGCGTATGTCGGCTCGCACTAGCCGCGTGTTTGCAAGCTTTTCGTGGTTTCAAACGTTCAAACATGTGATTTGATGTTACTCCCGTGTGTGTCAAGGTCACCTGAAGGTCAGGTCAGGTCATTGACCTTTGGTGACCTCGGGTGACCTCGGGTCACTTTTTCGAGTTTTACATGTTTCTAGGCTAGTTTTTGGAGCTGAATTCGAATTTAGCAACCATTTGAACATTTACGAAGTAGTTTTGGTGACTTCGTAACATGTTACGAAGCTGTCAGAGGCGGTTGACACGTACTACGAATACCCGTCACGACGCCTACTGGTTGACCTGACCTGACCTGACCCGACCTGGTCTAAATGCGTTAAGACATCATCTGTGATCAAAACTAACACGATATTCGTGATCAGCACCCCGAAAAACCCCTTAGCAGCCACACTTTACGACTTTCTAACAGGTCCCGATTTTCCCGACTTTGGGTCATTGACCTGACCTGGAAGGTCAACCAATGACCTAGGACCTTAAAATTGGGTATCATCGGCTTCCTCTCGTCACGGGCAACACGCTCGTTTTTTTTTGCGAAGCTCTAGCTCGATCAGGGGCCAAACGGCAAGGGGGGTCCAACCGACCCCCCCCCCCGTACACATTAGAAGCTGGCAAACGCCGCACACATGCGAGGGTTAACTTCTATGAAGCCAAGGGAAATGTGCCTACATCATGCATGTAAACTCAAAATTACACATGCATGACAAAGGAAGCTTATGTAAAGAGAATAGTTGACAAAAGCATCTCATGGTTAAAATTATTCAAAACTGCACACAGGGCAAACATAAAAAGCAGCAAGTGTACTGTTCTGTTATGTTAAGAAATAATCCAAAACAAAATACAATCTTTTCATGTTTGAACTGGTTGTTCTTCTATGCTCCTTCATCCATATCTTGATTACAGATGGGCTGTTACTGTAGGCTGATGAAGTGACACTTGATTGCCTTTGTGAGAGTTTCAGTTTCAGCCTCCTTGGTACTGCACTGGAAAGCAGATTGAATTGAATGCCTCTGAAAGATAGGAATACAGGCAGGGTTAGCTGTAGTAGTGTCAATGATAATAGACATGACATTTTTGTCCTTTGACATACATTTGTTGAAGTACAAAAAGGTACAAAATAAATTGGTTTGTTTCAAGACACGCACACTGCACAAAGCCGCACAGACATTACACAGGCATATGAAATTGGTACACATAAAATTTGATGATTAAAAAGGTGAAAACTTGCATTAATAATTGAAGTAAAAGTTACAATCACAATCATTTGATTTAAAATGACTTTTTTTCGAGTTACGCTTGTATTTAAAGCACACATACATGGCTTGACACAACGCATATGTCCTTGCAGCAGGACAGCGCCACCTATGGACAGTGGGTACAGGTGGCAGTACTGGCAATCTCGTTGCTACGGGGCCTCGTCTATGGACTGAACTACTTGCATAGAGCACGATCCGCGCGTGTTACAGGCAACACGACCTACATTAACATTTTCTTCAAAAACTTAGCAAACTATACATACATATTATATCTAACATTGTACCATCGGACCGCCGCGCCGTCCCGGCCGAGCGGGGCCAGGCCCGGCTGCGGCGCGGGCAGCAGCGCCAGCGGGCACGCCACTACGGGCGGGCCGGACGAAAGGGCCGCCTGGCGACGGGCGCGGCACCGTGCCGGCCGCCGGACCCCCGACGACAAACACCAGCGACGGAGGTATCTCGCCCGCGTGGGTTAATTGGATGTGGGGAGGGCTGAGGAGGGATGGGATGAGGAGTTGGTTGGGTGTCAGACAAGATTTTCGATACACTGCCCCATTTTTCTAAAAATTGCAAATTCTTGTTATTTCTAATAGAACTTATCTGTTCCTTTTCAGCTTCTATTTTCAGTAACGCAATGAACTGATTGATATTCGGTGTGTTGTTCTTATGTTTTGCTTGAAAGACTACTTGTTTGGCTATTGTAATTATTATTATACTGAGTTTACTCTCTTCCCCGATCCTCGGAAAGAACCAGGACTGTGCTGTAAGGCGTATTATTATGTTATAATTGTCTTTTATATATCCTATTATTTCTTTTATGAAGTTTTTTACTTTTTCACACTCCCACAGTATATGATATAATGTTTCATTCTCCTCCTTGCAAAAAGTACATAACGGACTTTCGGATTTACCAATCTTGAATAGGAATGTATTTGTTGATATAATTCTGTTTATAATGCGGTAATGCAAAGTTTGCAGGTGTGTATTCTTTGTGGATTTCTGCACATCGTATAACGTACCTTCGTGCATACACCCAATATCTC